TATCAGACCACTGTACTGCTTCATGGATCATGTAACCTGGATATTCTATACCAGCAGCACGACGAACTTTAATGAAAACATCTTTCCACAGCACATGCTCTATCTGGAAGTGCTTTTTGTGAAATAAAAAGAACGATAGCGAGAAAATTTTGAAAAGAGATATTAAGTGAAGCGGTGACACATCACAATCACATATTCGATCAAATTCAACGACTACTTTGTGCCAGACAAACTAAATGAGCAAAACTAGTTTTTGGGGAAACAAGCTGCGAAAGTAAGACCGGTTTCTTGATTACTTCAGCAATGACAACTTCAAGTAAAAAAACAAGGAAAAGAATTCAGCGATTATATGAGCAATTTAATTGACAAAATATATCATGAATTAAAAGGAGCAGAGTGTTTGGCTACAGCATTTACTGACGCACATCTCCAAAGATTCCAACATAAGGTTTCAATCTTGCATTCCCTTTACTTTTTATTATAACTATCACTTACTATTGCTTGGTCTCCAATATAATTACTTACTATTCCCGCAATTGCTTGCAAGGTGTTCAACTGATGGCGTTGAAAATTCTAGTAAAGCTGTCGAACAAATAAACTCAAAAATTGAATTCCCACGGACTTCTGAGTTGCAAAACAACTTGGAAATGGTTGGAGTTGCAAATATTAATTTGAAGAAAAGCTTTGCAGATACTTTGACGAGTGAGATAGACGACAAATTCCTGAGAGAACTTCTATACCAATCCTTGCAAGATCAGCAAAACTTAAAGAAATGAAGCATTATGAGGAGCTCTTGGAAAACGGTAGAGCTAGGCTTTCAAGCTTTTATTTGCTATAACAGTTGGCTATATTTCCTTATGAACTGCCACACACTGTCATACTATGATGCAACGCCGCTGGCGTAAACAGCATGCAGACAAGACTGTTATCATACACTTGAGTTCAACGTCCTGGCTAGACTTGATGTCTCAACAAAACCAAATGCTAAGAAAGTTCGTTAAGCAAAATTTCTACTAATATCAGTTCAACAAATAGAAATAAAAGAAATGGAATCATAATAAAATGTTGCCTACTGTGTACTTTATACTCCATTTTCGGAAGTCACGCCCTAGCAGGACAATATAGTCATTGCGCAGCACGAATATTAAAGAACTTTGGTGCTGAGATGAGTCCATGAAACAGAAAAAAAAACAGCGGATTTACCTTTCCATTGCGTGATACGACCTTTATCCACATAGGATTATCATTCACATACACACCATCAGTGGTTGTCCACTCCTAAGAACATGAATTGTCACTTCGTCAGAGTGTGAATGAGAAGCGCAAAGATTACCTTGCCCAGGCCTCCGACATAGAGTTTGTCTCCTTTTACGGTAAGCCACTCAGCCTTCAGGCCTTTTGTGGCATTTCCAGGGCCATCAACGAGGAAAATCCA